GATTTCTGGGTTTTTTGCTCTAATTTTCAGCATAAAATTAATCTATACCTTGCAGGCAGTATTATTCTTATCTGGAACATTATTATTTTTCTCTTTATTTGCCCATTAAGCCTTTCATTTACCAGGGGTTTTACTAAGTATATTTTTTAATTTAATTATGGGCCTTTTCATTTCTCTTAGGCCCCAAATTTAATCAAATTTGATAGATTTCTTTGGTATTCTTTCCCCTATTTGTGTTAAAATTACTATTAAGAGTGCTGCACCCACAAATACTTGTGGTATTCATTTTAAAACAGTTTTATGCATTTGTTATCAATTATATCTCATCCAGGTAAGGATATTTTTTTCCTTTCCTAAAATGTAGAAAGTTAAGCCTTATCTGGTTTAACTTTGTAACCTACCCATTCATTATTTTCAGTTCAGTTTAACTATCTCAATGATGTGGTCTATGATCTATAGTTGTGAATCTTATAGTTATAAGATTCTGAATACATATATGTATATTACATAAAAGTATTCAAATAAAAGAGCAGGAGTTTGCAATCAGGCAGATCTAGATTCAGATTCAGGCTTGAATATTCTGAGCCCTTATACAAAGTACTTACCTATCCCCTCTCCCATCAATAAAATGGAAGTAACTCCCATTTATAACACAAGGCCGTGTTAATAAATGACAATATGTACTTAAAACAATGTATACTAAATGCCTACAGATAATGTCTAGTACAAGAAAAAAATGTTAATTCACTCTCTACTCCTTCTTATCCCAAGCAACAACTGCAATAAATACTGTTTCCTACATTTATTTTAAGTTCATTATTAAATTCCCTTAAGTAAAAGCAACTTGGCAACATGGACCATGAATTTTGGATGTTCACATATTCTGATTCAACATTTTCACTTTGGGCAATCTATCTTAACAATCTGAAATGCAGAAATTGTTTTATACACAAAGATGTTCATTGCAGTGTTTCTTATAACTGAAAAAAATTTAGAAACTGTTTAATAGTTTGGGGGATAGACACGCTTCAAGCTCTTACTCGAAAGGGGAGGGGGGGCATGGGCAATATATGTAACCTTAACACTTGTACCCCCATAATACGCTAAAATTAAAAAAAAGAAAAGAAACTGTTTAATAAAGAGATAGTCACACATACATTATACAATCATTTAACAATGCTGACAAAATAATTCAACAGCATATGGAAAAAATAGAATACAAAATTATTCATATAGTAAAGTCTCAACTATGAAAAAAAATCCAATAAACTCAGAAAAATCTTACAAGGAAATACACCAAAGGGCTTAAGTAGTTATCATACAATCCTGGTATTGGTGATTTGCAGTATTTTATGGTTATTTTGTATAGTTTTCTAATATAATTAACAAGGACAATGACATTGTTGATAATAGCAGTTGTTATATATGGAATACTTACTACATGCCAGGCCCAGTTTTAAGAGCTTATTGTATTCACTCATTTAATCCTCATGACATTATGAGATTTAAAAAAAGTGAGATTAAGTAACTTGCCCAAGGTCACACAAATAATTACAGAAGGTGCCAAAATTTGAATCCAAGTTGCCTGTTTGGCTTTAAAACACCTATTTTCTAAACTACACTGAAGTTATGCTTTGTTTTAAATTTTTTTTTTTTTTTGAGGCAAGAGTCTCTGTTGCCTGGGCTAGAGTGCGGAGACATCAGCTTAGTTCACAGCAACCTCAACTTCCTGGGCTCAAGCGATCCTCCTGCCTCAGCCTCCCGAGTAGCTGGGACTACAGGAATGTGCCACCATGCCCGGCTAATTTTTTCCATATTTTTAGTTAGCCAATTAATTTTTCTATTTTTTTAGTATAGATGGAGTCTCGCTCTTGCTCAGGCTGGCTTTGAACTGACCTTGAGCGATCCGCCCACCTCAGCCTCCCAGAGTGCTGGGATTATAGGCGTGAGCCACCGCGCCCAGCCTTTAAAATCGTAATCATTAAAAAGGCATACATATCAATCCAATCCTTGTGGTCTTCAGTTATCAGCTTTCTTTCAGCACTGAGTTCACATATTTGCTCTGTCATCGAATGCCTTTTTGGAGTAAGATGTAGCCACCATTCCCATACAGCTTCTATCTACTACAGAAAATTCCAAGACAAATATGCATCCCCATTTCCAGTTTCAATGGTCATTTGACCACTGATACTCTGGAACTCTAACATTCTTACTGATTACACTAGCAGACAATACTTCAAGGAACCCTATCTAGCAATGGAGGTCTTGGAGTAAACCAATCAAACTTGGTTTCTACAACCTCTCCTACTGCAAACCACTGTCACCATTTGCTATGGTTTGGATATGGTTTCTTCGTTCCCAAGAAAACTCATGTTGAAATTTGATCTCCAAAGTGGTGTTGATAGGTGGTGCCTAGCGGGGAGGTGTTTGGGTTAGGTGGGTAGATCTCCCAAGAATGGCTTGGTGCTGTTCTCTCCTTAGTGAATTCTTTCTCTCTCTTAACTGGATACTTCTCATAGGAATGGATTAGTACCCTTTGAGTAGGTTGTTATAAAGCCAAGATGCCCTCAGGTTTCCCCCACTTTGGGTTTCTGCTTCCACTTGACCTTATCCAGTGTTTTATAAAGACACAGCACCAAAAGTCAACCAGATGGCAGTGCCATGCTTCTTATAGGTAACAGCCTATAGAACTACACTGAACTAAAATAATAAACCTCTTCTCTTTACCCAGTCTCAGGTATTCTTTTACAGAAACACAAAACTGACTAAGATACCACTCTTGCAAACATCTGTCTTCCATTGTGAAGTTCAACCTCTTTACATCCCAGGAGACCCCTCACCGGCCAACACTCACCAGATATCTACCATGGCACTTGCTGAAAAGGGCCAACCAAGAAAGATCCTCAACATTTGGGGAAATTTCACTGTTTCTGATCCCTCCTCTTTGAAGATGGCATTGTTCTCCATTGTTTTTGAAAACCTTATCAGTTAATCATTTTGCTTCTTTCAGCTTTCTCACCCTTTTACAGGTAAACCAAACTGTTTTGAAGGAAACAAGATCTTTTTGGCATGAATATGCATGCAAATGTCAATCTCAGGAAAAAATATTTATACCCTGGCCAATAAGAATTACTCCCACTTACAGCTGTGCTCCTCTCTGCAGTTCATATTTGATAAATTTATTTCATTACATATGTCACTTGGTTTGGCTTCTTTTATAACCAGATTGCTTTTTTTAAATAAAAGAAATGTTTGCAGAATCCAATATGGTTAAAATGCAAGAACTTCTTCTAAACATAAGACATTTACATTTCAATGCAGTAGTTCATTTACAGCAATTAGAAAAATGGAGCTCATGTGATGGCTTTAACATAACATAAATAAACCACAGTCATAAAAAAAAAGAATATAACAAGTGTTGATATGCAAAAATTTACAACCAGAACCATATATCATATTTTACCAAAATCTTATTCTACTCACATTATATAATGGAAAAAAAGCCACTTGGGAGTGAAGGTAGAATTGCAAAAAAGAATTTTATAGATATTTCAGTGGGAGGAATTTAATAATTCCTGACTAGGACAAAGATGCAAATATCCCAGGGTGGAAGCCCCTTTTAGGAAAAAGAAAATGGAACACAATACTTCACTAGGCTCACATTAAATTACATTAAGTAAAAACTGTACTGCCTTATGCACTGCATATGCCAGGGAGTAAAAAAGAAATCTGCACCTTCAAACCAATATTTCCCTTTTGCAGTTGCAAGTTTTCAACTTGGTGCAGCCATTCTCTAGGAACGGTTGCGGTGCAGGGTAAGATAAAGTGGAAAATGGAATATTTTCCCAAAACACTGAATCCTTCCCTTTTTCACTAAATATAACTTATTTACCACCCTAATATGAAAGCTTTGATATAACAGGGAAACTTAAAATCCGGCAGGAAGTTTTGTTATCCTAAAAATGAGCACGTCAGAACAGCCATTTTACAACCTTCATTTCCAAATACCTATTACACCATATATCTTGCATTTATAAAGTACCTTTTCAAAAAGAAGCACTTAGGCACTCATCATTTAAGTCACTGCTGTTCCAAAGCAGGATAGTTATTAAGCTTCTTAATACAACTGTCAACATGAATTTGTAGATAGATTCCAATTTCAAATTTCTACATTTACATCTGCTCTGGGCCAAATTGATTCGTGATTAAGATAACGGACTTAAACTGTAAGCAATCCTTGCAACATTCATACAGACTTTTAAAATCAGTAAACAACACAGGATCATTTTTAAAGGAAGAAAGCCATTTTCAAAACACTTTGTGGTGGTCGGTCTGTTTCTCAGTAGTTGTTCCCTGTTGCGGGTACGCGATGGAGCATAAGTAGAAGTGCAAAAACCACAAACCCACGCAAAACTCATACAGTTACAAATATTAAAATTATGTAAACATGTCATAAGGCCAAGAGGCCCCAAGGAGAAAGAACCATCGGGAGAAATATGTCAGCAAGCCGAATGAGAAGAAGATAGCTAGTGTGTGCGGACCCGGGACACCGGGCAAAGGAGACCCAGGCAGGACAAAGACGGGCCCGTTTCGGCAACGCCCGACTGTGCCCAGAACCGGCGGGAAGCAGCCGTCCCAGAGCGGCAGACTGCAGCACCCAAGGGCCCTCAAACGCTGCGGCTCAACAGGCGGGGCAAAAGCTCCCTCGGCCATCAGATCCTTCCCTTCCCGCCGCCCCTAAACGTCTCCAGGCCCTGGCCTCGGACACCTGAGGAGCCGCCGCCGCCTGCGCCCTACCCGGGTCCTGCAGTGCGCCTGGGCCGGCAGCTGTTGGGCTTAGAACCGCGCCGCCGCCGCCGCCGGGCTCCAAACGGCCGGGCGGGCACCGGGAAGGCGGACGAGCCTGGCTGCTCCCCGCCTGGCGCGTCAGGCAGCTTCGGAACCCCCTGCCTCAGTTCCCGCCCCTCCAGTCCGTGGCCGCACACCCTCACGCCACCTACCCGGTCCCACACCATCCCAGAGGCCTCGGGCGCTTGGGGCTTCTGCCGAAGCGGCGTCGCCTCCTGTCCGGGGCCTGAAATGGCTGCGGAACAAAGAGAACCTGGGCTCCGGCGAGCGCCTGTCCGATTGGCTGGGGGGCGGGGCCCGCCGCGGGAACGTTCGGCGGCGGTCGCCTTGGCAACGGCGGCGGGGCTGGGAAAACTGCGGCCTGGGCCCGCGGCGTCCTCGGCAGCGGTTTCTAAGCGGGCTCTGCAGCCTCGGGCTTCGGCCCGGCCCGGGGCTCACGAATGCTCGCGCCCCCTGCGGTCGGCGCGCTGGCCTGAGCCTCTGGCTCGCGGGCGCAGCCGCTGCAGACGCTGCCTGGCGCGGAGGGGCGGCAAGCAAAATGGCCTGCAAATATGGTTGCCTATGGGCTGTGCAGGGCCCTCCTCAGAGGACGACCCTACCCCAGCCTAACTTCTGTACCTCTGCATAACCCCCCAAGTGACAGCCATGCCCTGGGGTCCTACTCAGCACCGAACATAACCCACAATAATAGAGTTCCAACGTCCCTGATAAAAAGCAGGAATGGCTTCGGCAGATAGATGTGGGCGGACGGCTGCCTGCTTAGTACAAAATAGCCTTTTTGAAATATGCTGTATCTAGCATATAAACCATAGTTAAAATTAAATGATTTGTAAAATTGTCTTATGCTTCCAGGTGTGTATTCATATAAACCTGTATTTTCTTGTTCTTTGAAATAACAAGCCCTTCTCTCCTTAACCGGCCATCATGAGAAATTAAAATGTCTTCTATTTTCCGAACGGTAAATAATTCAAAATGGGAGAGGTAGACGTTTTCATACCTCTGTAATAATGGTAATGAATAGATAAATATCAGTTCCTTCCTCCAGATTATTCATATATAAATTTACTGTATATAAATATTTAAAATTTGCATAGTAGGTGATTCTTATTTTCTGAGGTGATGATATTGGTGATAATATTCCTCACATGATCAATCAAATACCAGCAGTTTCGACTATCTTACCTGAAAGTGTTTTGAAAATGTGTAGCCATTGTAATATTCTAGATAATATTCCAGGTAATATTCTAGATAAAATTACAGTACCTAATACTAGAAAATGTTTTTTAATTTTTACTAAGACAGTTTATTTGTTAATAAACCTGTTAATTTTCATGAGTAACAATAACCATTTTACAGGAACAACTAGTTTCTTTAACTTCAATTTTGAAACTAAAAGGACCTTGTTTTGTCAGTGGGAAATTGAACTTAGCAAGGGAAAATATTTTAAATAACTAAAATACGATTTCAACATTTTCTAATGTTAATTTGATAGCAATCAGATACAGTAGTGTACATGAAGAATTGTCCCCAAACAGGAATAGGTAACTAAAAAAAATTTTTATATAAACCTTCCTTAATAGTAGGTTAGTATATCTGCAGGAATATGTTACCCAGAATAAGTATGTTTATTCAAAGAACAAACAGGGCTTATTTCTGCATTTGAAAATTACATCGTGGAATAGGGATCTGTACAAATCAGAAGATGTGTGGTATTTGCATTCTACTTTGCTAAAGAAAAAAAGGAATATTTTAAAAATCTGAAGGATTAGCAAATAATGACAGATGTAAAGAACTACTGACTAAGTAATTAGTAAAGAATTCACCTAATTTATAGTTTGGAAATAATTGAAATGAATTGAAAAAAATGAAATATTATTTAGCGTCAAAGGATTTATCAGCCAAAATCTTTTGAAAGAAAAAAATCTTGATTACCAGATGTTGTAAAATTAAATTAGGTAAATTCAATATTCTTTTGTAAAATTTAAATGACAGCAAATGAAAATGTTAATATATATAATAGTTCTGTGTTCAATAGAGATGCTTACACATGTAGCCCTTTCATCTCACCTATGTTAAATTAAAAATACATGTTTTAAACAGTAAATTTTCTTACCATGAACAAGGACTTATTAGCATGGCTTATTTTACTTTTCTTTTCTTGTTATGGTTTCTCTTTGTTATGGTTTTCTCTTGTTATGGTTTCTAAGTTTGCACATATAATAGCAGCTATCCAGTGGTATTTTCTCTTTATACCCAAATAAAATACCCCAGTATAATATAATTCCCATTTTGTAAAACTTTGAAGAATTGTTGATATTTTTAAATGACTTATACTGAAATTAAAAATAGTAAATAAACTTTGTTAACTTTAAAATCTATTATAGATCTCTTATAGTTTTAATTTCTGTATTAATTTTTTTCTTAGGTGAAAAATTGACAGAGATAAAAATCAAGAATGTTAGAAGTTACAAAATAGCATTTAAGGAAGAAAGCATACCTATAAATTTTCACCTAGGAAGGAAAAGCTGCTTATTTTGTCAGATGTAGCATTGTCAAAACAAGTGTGAAGCTTGGAGGTGGAGGACCTGTATGTAAGTGCTGGTTTTACTACTATGAATGCTTAGTTTTTTCTAAGCTTCACTGTCTTTGTCTTAAAGGGAATTAACCCTTTGTACTTGGATGTCGAGTGTGGATAATGAGAAAAAAGCAAGCGAGTGCAAAGGGTTAAATAAGATAAAATATATAAAGAGTTCATTAGGAGAAGCCAGGCAGATAGTTAGCAATAAATGAAAGTATTACTAGGCATTAATATAAATAAAAGAACAGATGTATGAGAAGGAGGAATGGCTATAGAAAAAAATAGGTCTGGAAGTCCAAAATTTGTTAAATATCTTCAGTAGGCAGTTGTTCATAAGAATATATAAACTCAATAAGGATAAGTGAAGTAATCTTTTAGATATAGGCAAACTTCTAAAATACAAGGTGTCCCAAAAGTCACCATACATAAGACAAATTTGAAATTGTAGCTAAATGTATCTTTATTTACAAAGTATTCATTACAAAATTTGTCATAAATAAAGGTACATTTAGCTACAATTTCCCATTTGCCCTATGTATGGCTACTTTTGGGACACCCTGTGGAATACTTCTGAGAAATATTGTTTCTATTTATACTTCTGGAAAGACATGAAAATTCTCATTATATTATTTAATACTAGGCAGTTTAAGGAATTGCCATCCCGTTGAAACATCCTCAGGTTGGCATTATGAAAAAAAAAAATTTTAAGTAATTATTTAGAAGAATTTAATTCAAATGTTGAGTGAGGAAAGTTATAGCCAATATTCAGAAATGTGTAAATAATCTATAGGCATTTCTCATTTAAAGTGAACCCAACATATAATGTTTGAATGTATAAAAAATTTAAATTAGGGAGCTATTATTAACTGGGAAAGAATTAACCTCAAAGTTTCTTTAACTATTAATACATCCTAGTGATTAAAATATGATTCTATTTATAAAAAGATCTAGACTTCCACTTTTGGGAAGATGGAGTTGACATACTTTTCCCTGTTCCTCCCAGTAAGTTCAACTGAAAGTTCTGAACAGTACATATAAAACACGCATAAGAAGATTCTGAATGGTGGAGAAAAGACAGATCAACTAGGAACCTTGGGACTCAAGGAACAGCATGATGGTTAATTCTCTGGGTTTTCTTTTTGCCTCAGACTTCACAGATTTGAAACTTAATAAGTCAGCCAACCTGGAAACACCAATAGCACAGATAGAAAAGAAAAGAAAAGAAAAGAAAAGAAAAGAAAAGAAAAGAAAAGAAAAGAAAAGAGCTCCATCAAAATACGGCTCTCTCTAGCTGAAGGGGCAGCATAGCAGACAGAAAAGTTTTAGACAATAACTGCTTACTCCAGCCAAAAACTACAGAAAGAACTGTGACTCCATCCCAATCATGGCAGCAAAGGCCTAGTGGAGAGCCTACATTCCCACCCTTACCATGCTGTAACAAGGTGCCACAACCCCTCCTTCCCAGGGTGGTCAGAGAAGGTCAAGTAGGGATCCGGGACTTTGATCACTACTGGGCAATAATGAGGAGCCTCTCATCTTTGGTGACAGTGGAGGCCAAGTGAGTAACTTGGATTTCTCCTACAACCTGGCAGTAATGAGGTGATGCCTGCTTCCAGCCCCCACTTCATCTGCAGACTCTGTGTTAGAAAAGCCAACTAAACGAGAAGATTTAAATAAGACACCAAATCTCATAATACCCCAAATGTCCAGGTTTCATGAAAATCATTCATCATATCGGGAACTGGGAAGATCTCAGACCTCAAGAAAAAAGGCAATTAATAGATGACAAAACTGAGAAGACAGAGGTGTTAGAATTATCTGACAAAGATTTTAAAGCAGATATAAAAATGTGTCAGTGAGCAACTATGAAAACATTTGAAATAAATGAAAAACAGTCTCATCAAAGAAATAGAAGATGTAAAGAAAAACCAAATGGAAATTTCAAACTGAAAAATACAAGAATCAAAATAAAAAACTAAATGTATGATTTCAATAACAGATTGGAGGGTAAGAGAAAAGAATCAGGGAATTTGAAGATAGAACAATAGAAATTCCCCAGTCTAACAAAAGAGAAATTAGACTAAGAAAAATATTAATGAACAGAGTCTCATGGAAATAAATGACTATCATGAACAATGTAATGTTCCTGAGAAATCAGAGTCCTGGGAGGAGGAGCGAAAGAAGGTGAGGCTAAAAAACATTTAAAGAAATAATAGCTGTAAGCTTCTGAAATTTGGTGAAAGACATAAACCTACAGATTCAAGAAGCTGAGCGAATTTTCAACAAAGGTGCCAAAACAGTTAAATGGGGGACAGATAGTCTTTTCAACAAATATTACTGAGATAACCTGGATATCCACAGGAAAAAAGAATAAAGTCAGGACATGCCTTATACCATATACAAAAATTAACTCAAAATGGATCATAGAACAAAATGTAAGAGCTAAAAATATAAAATTCTTAGAAGTAAACATGTAAATAAGTGTTCGTGACCTTGAGTTAGGCAAAGACTGCTTACATATGACATCAAAACCACAAGCATAGAAAGAAAAATAGGTAAATTGGACTTTCTCAACTTTTGTGCTTAAAGGGCAATATACATAACCTTAACATTTGTACCCCCATAATATGCTGAAATAAAAAAAAAAAAAGGAAAGAAAAGAAAAGAAAAAGAAAGAAAGTGAAGATACAACTCACAGAATGGGAAAAATTATTCACAATCACATATATGATAAGAGATTTATATCTAGAATAGATTAAAAAAACCTCTCACATCTCAATAATAAAAAGACAATTTTAAAATGGGTAAAGGGTCTATATAGACATTTCTTCAAAGAAGATATACAAATAACTAACAAGCATATGAAAAGAACAGCAGCATCATTAGCCATTAGGGAAATGCAAATCAAAAAAAGAAGATCCCACCTTACACCCATTAGGATAGCTGTAGTAAGAAGGCAGATAACAAGTATCAGAAAGGATGTGAGAAATTGGAATCCCCATACATTGCTGGCGAAAATGTAAAGTGCTACATCTGCTTTGGAAAACAGCCTGGCAGTTCTTCAAATTATTAAATATAGAGTTACCATATCATCTAGCAAGTCCATTCCTGATAGAAATGAAAACATAGGTCTACATAAAAAGTTGTGCACAATTGTTCACAGCAGCATTACTAATAATTATTTGTAATCCCCAAAAGTGGAATAACTCAAATGTTCATCAATTGATTAATGAAGAAACAAAATATAGTGTATCTGTACAATGGAATATTAGTGGGCACTAAAAAGGAATAAAGTACTAATACATGCTACATTATAAATGAACCTTGAAAACATTATGCTTTCTTTAAGTGAAAGAAGCCAGTTACAAAAACCACATATTGCATGATTATATCTATATGAAATATCTAGAATAAGCAAATATGTAGAGATAGAAAGTATATTAGTGGTTTCCAGGGGTTGGAGGGGAAATAAAGAATGATTACTAATAGGGATTAGGTTTCTTTTTGAGGTGATGAAGTGTTCTAAAATTAGTAAAGGTTGCACAACCTGTGACTATATTAAAAACTACTGAATTGTAAATGTTAAAAAGGGCGAATTTTATGGTATATAAATTATATATCAATAAAGCTGTCATTAAAAAAAAGACAAATGAAACATAAAGAATAAACCCAAAAAGATCCATGCCAAGACACATCATAATTCAACTTCTAAAAACTAAATACAAAGAAAAAATCTTGAAAGCAGAGAGCAAGAAATGAGACTTTAGCTATAAGGGAAAAATGAAGACAGTGGATTTTATATCCGAAACCAGGGAGGTAAGAGGAAGCGACACATTTTCAAGTGTGAAAGAAAAGAACTGTCAACCCAAATTCTATATCCATCAAAAATATCCTTTAGGAATGAAGGGGAAATAATGTAGCCTCAAACTCCTGGGCTCAAGCAATCCTCCTGCCTTGGCCTCCCAAAGTATTGCAATTATAGGTGTGAACCACCATTAGTGGCCTGTTATTATTATTATTATTGCTTGGGATGAATAATAATTTGTGCTAGGTGAATTGAAAATGATGCTAATTTGACTAACATTATTAACAGTATAACCAAAATGGAAGAATACAAATTTTTTTTTTCTTTAGAAATGTATTGGTTTTGATAAATGTTTTGGGTATTTGTGTTGTACTCTATAAAAATAAAGATTGTATGGGCATGTTGTTCAATCCCAACAAAGCAGAAATAGTAGCAGATTGTGGCAAAACTTGGAATGATATCTAAGGTATCTCAAATCCAGTCTTTTGTGGAAGGAAAAATCTGGGTTAGTCTTCTCTTGTCTCTCGGAAGATATTGATCAGAATTAAAAAACAAGTTTTTTTCTATTGCTTGCATTCTTCGCCTGCCTCCCAAGTTCTTTTTCTTGTGTTTTTGTTTGTACCTTTCGTTTTTGTCTGTGGCTTTCCTGAAATGTCTGGTGAGGCTTGGTTCTCCATTCAGACATATTTAAGAGTAAGGCACTGGAAAGCAGATTGGAAGCTCTTGTGTGATGAAGCAATTGGTGGACAGGTGGGCATCTCTGTAGGGCAGTGGGGCACTAAGATAGCTTTTGTGTTGGGGCACCTGTCTGGGTCTCCATAGAAGGCTCCTCTGTTGTCTTGATTGGGAAGAATAAGAATCACTCCTTGTGTTCTGGGACCTGGAAGGGGTTATAGGAGTGGAGATGGGAGGTTCATCATGCCTAATTCTAATTAGTCCCTTATTTTTTATGCTGGTGCCTCATTCTTTCCCTCTGTGTGTCTGGAGTCCTCAAATCTGGGGTCCCACTGGTTCAATTACCACAGAGAATAAACCTCCCCTCTCCCTAAGGGTGAGATAAGAGTAGTTAGGTGGCTTCTCAGGGTAGGGCTCCAAGGCTCTTTTCAAGCGGTTTTCCTGTTGTCACTTTCACTCTGCGTCTCTGCCCTTTTCAGTACTTCCAATACCTGAGCCCTTTCCTGGCACTTCGGAGAGAATCAGTTACTTCAGTTTGGTATTAGGCACTTTGATTTCAGGTTTCTCTGCTCTTCTAAGCCAGTTTCCACTTCACCATCTATTTTCTGTCTTCATGAATTTAACATTCATTGTCTGCTGTAGTCTCTCTCCAGTTCTCCCTGTGCTTGCAGATTTACACTTTTAAAAAATTTCCCTTACTGTCATTTTCAGGTGATTTCAGAAGAGAAAAGAGAGAAAAAAATCTAACTGCTTAAAACAGAATTTTTGATACTACTTTTTAAAGCTGTAAAATGACATTCTAGACAAGGTTTCATTTTTAGTTTTGAGTAATAAAAAAAGGATTTCAATGTATATAATTTTTCTGGTTACATCAATGCTAGAAAAAAAAATGTATATAATTTTGAGTTAGCAGGTTAACAACTGGAATTAAATATTTAAATATTAAATTCAGGTTTAATCCCATTGATAATTTCATAGCCAGTGTTATGATTTTATTATAACCCATGTGAAATTACATGTAATTGATCCAAATAAACTGCCATATAATTTTTCATGTTTTGTATGTCATGAAAACTCTGCACAAAATTAATTTACAAATTAATCAGCAACTTTCATAAACAGAGACATTCTATCCTGAAAAATTTACATTTTTAAACACAGATTGTTATAGCAAAACTTACAGATTAAAAAATTCAAGATACCTATATGCATATCTTTTAAAATAAATCATCCCTGGAGATAGAAAACAAACAAAGATAACAGGAGAGTCTGTCAATAATTTTTAATTTCTGCACAAAAAATTCTGGAATCAATAAGATCCAACCATCTCATGCATTCCACCAAACCATGGGGCATTTCTGCTATAAAGATATGTATTCAAACTTTTATAGCAATAAAAGATTTCCTTGAAGTTTGCCCTAAGGGCTCTGAAGTTACATATGTATGCTGGATTGGCTTCTAACTTATAACAATAAAAGATTTCCTTGTAAAGTTTTCCCTTGTGGACCTGAAGTTATGTATGTGTGCTGGGCTGGCTCCTTTTTTTTTTTTTTTTTTTTTGTCTATATTATTATTTTTTCAAGAGATGAAATCTCACTATGTTGGCCCGGCTGACCTGAAACTCCTAGGCTCAGATGATCCTCCTGCCTCAGCCTCCCTAGATGCTGGCACTATGGCACATGCCACTGCGCCTGGCTTTCCTCCGCATTTTTAGTTCAATTTTCAGAGGCTTTTCTCAGCTATTACTTTTGTTTTGTCCTTGGTATTCATTGTTGTTCTTTCTTTAAGAGTCAATAGATTGGCAGTTTGTCAAAAGACCAATTTGTTATTGTGTATATTATGCTTTTCCTAGCATTCCTGACAGGGAAGATTTAAAGAATTCTAAAATGAGAGCTGTCTCTTCTCTAGTTGGCATGAAATAGAAGTGGTAATTTGGATTTGCTTTGCGTATAGTTGTAATGATTGTACAATCAGAGAAATGAATTTTAAGGCATGAACGCTCTGCCTCCATTTCACAGGGCTTTTGTTGCCTATGGGGGGAAAACATATCTTCACATTCCCTTAGGACTAAACAGAAGGAAAGCTTTCTAATCTTCGAATTGAATTTTTTTGAGGGCATATGTATTTACATAAATTAGAAAGAAAAATCATTAGGAAATTTTATTATGAAGAACATATAAGCCGATAAGACATCTAAAAAATCAAACCAAAGGAAAATTTCAACAATAGCTGTGGATAAGCTATTAGTTTATGTCCCTTAACACTTTTCCCACTTCCTCATTAACCCTTTTCTCTACGCTGGTTAGTCATGTTTATGCTCATTTTTGCTCAAATAATTTGTGTTCTTTCTTCAGAAGTATGTTCCGATATACCAAGTGCATAATTACTTGTAATTGTCGTGGATATAATACTGGAATTTGGATTGCTGAGGAAGTAGGACGCTATCACATTGCTATTTTGAGAATTTACCATGATTCTAGTGTATCTTAAGTTGTTTGAATTTAAAAGATTATTTCTTACAAGCTATTGCACATCTTTATTTTTTGCCTCACTTCAAGGTCTGAGAAGATGAAATTAAGGCCCACCTTAGAGGTGCAACAAAAATCTATACATAGTTCACTGATCTGTGTCTAAGATCCTGTGGGAAACTATAGTACTCTGTGCAAAAGAATCTGAAGGAGAAGGGCTTGGAAGTAACAGATTTAAGGTGAAAATATCTCTATGCCATACAGGTCAATTGTAGCTGGATAAAGTACATCCTCATACCAGTTACGCTAATGGAAAATTTTCAATTTAAAAGAAGGTGGCTCACGCCTGTAATCCTAGCACTCTAGGAGGCCCAGGTAGGCAGATTGCTCAAGGTCAGGAGTTCGTGACCAGCCTGAGCAAGAGTGAGACCCCATCTCTCATAAAAATAGAAAGAAATTGGCCGGACAACTAAAAATATTAGAAAAATTAGCCGGGCATGGTGGTGCATGCCTGTAGTCCCAGCTACTCAGGAGGCTGAGGCAGAAGGATTGCTTGAGCCCAGGAGTTTGAGGTTGCTGTGAGCTAGGCTGATGCCACGGCACTCTAGCCCAGGCAACAGAGTGAGACTCTGTTTCAAAAAAGAAAAGAAAAAAGAAAAGAAAGAAAAGAAAAGAAAAGAAAGAAAAGAAAAGAAGAAAAGAAAAGAAAGGAAAAGAAAAGAAAAGAAAAGAAAAGAAAAGAAAAGAAAAGAAAAGAAAAGAAAAGAAAAGAAAAGAAGGGAATAATGTAAATAGATAACTCAAGGCAGTCTTACTGAAGTCACAGAGACGAACAGGGCTATGAGAGAAGACATCACCCCTGGATGGGAGATTATTTGAAGATGACAGAATTCATTTTATTTGGATACAGTTGTATTACTTTAGATTTTTTTTTTTTTTTTTTTGGAGGGTAGAAGGCAACAAAACTAGCCTCTGACCAGCATAGGCAAAAAGAAGAACTTATTGTAAGTATACTGGAGTGTTTCTCAAGGACAAGTTGAACAACCTACTCTAGAGATAGGGATCCAGATAGCCTGGGGACTGTAAAGTTTTCCAGCAACAAAAGAGAGAGTGGGGCTAAACAACGTGGTTTTATTGGGCGCTCCCAGGCAAGGTTCTCCAGTCCCGGGAGTGGGGGGGGGGCAAGAAGTCCTCCATTTGGAGGGGTTTAAGGCTTTCATACTGTTTGAGGCAGACCGAGGACTTTTGGCGGTAAGGGCTGGGGATTTTCCACTGTGACTTTCAGCGGTTATTGAAAAATAGGAGGGGCTAGCGGTATTTGCAGAATCCAGGAACTGAAAACTTTCTTATCTGGGTGGATATCCAGGTGTTGTTGTTTTCAGTGGAGCCTGGCAGTTGTCTTTGGCAAATCTGGTCTTGTAATCCTTTTCTTTTTGATCTAGGGAGGAGAGGGGTGCCCCATCAACAGCCTTACAGGGACCATCAACCTTAGATCCTCTGCTTGCTTCTTGTTTCTGCAGGCCATCTTTCCCAAGGGGAATATGGCAGTCTAGTATACCCAAGGTTTACATTTTATGGCTTCAAGAATTAGGGACCAGCTCCCTTTCCATCTTTTTTCCTATCTAAGATACAAATTCTTGGGACAGGACTCGCTTGCCCTGACTGGGGGAGGTACACACATGTGAACCACAGATGAATTAGCTGTGGGTAGAGGGAAAAGTCACACTATAGCTGAACCACAGTGGGAGGAGGAAAGAGAAAGGGGGAAGCAGTTCCTAGAATAAGTGGAGGAGCTAAGGAGACTATCAGAGTTTTCTACTGCAGAAGTACTTCTCCAGATCATTCGATGAGTGAGATTTAATTGACAGAGATGATTTGATGTTTGGGTGCAAAAATCCCACTATCTCACCATTGTATTTTGATAAGGTAGCAGTACCTAAAGGTTTACTTTAACAATTTAGATATAAAAGAGTAGTTTATTAATATTAATTTTATAAATTTCTCTAATAAATTATTCATTTTAAATTGCAGCTAGAAGGCATTGATAAATCTAATGCAGTTACCTCATTTTACAGAGGAGGACTCTCAGAGGATAAATAACTTGACCAAGGTCACATGGTAAACAGTGAAAACATCTGGGCTAGACTCCAAATGTAATTTCTTATCTAGTGCTGTTGTCTAGATCTCATTATTTGTTTAGAAATACTTTATCTTTTGCTCAAAACAGCTTAATGTTGATGGGTTCTAATTTGTATAATCTTTGAGTCAAAGTGTACATAAATCCCAGGACTCACTGTGTCCAGTAGCAGCAAGACTTAGAGTACATCAGAACATTAGCTCAGAAACTGAGGAACATCAGTTCCATGCAGTACTTTCTCCTGAGTGAAGGCCACTTCTGCACAGAGATGGCTTGCAAAGAAATCTGCAGGAAAAGCCAAGGTTTAGGAAGCAGCTTTGGATTCCATTAGCTTCATTCTTCAGGTACTGTAATGCTAGATCAAAGTATATCACAATTTAAGATGGCAATGATGATCTGACCAATAAAGATTTTAAAACAGTCAATATCAGTAAGGGTGAACAGACATGCATAGTGAACAGACAACAACATGTAAACAAATAAAGTAGTTAACTCTAGATAATAGTGATTCTAGATAATAATTGCCATGAAGAAAAAAAATGAGGGATGTGATAAAGAGTGAGGATGGTCTACTCAGGATCAGGGATTCAGGGAAATTCTCTCTGAATCAGTGAATGAATGAGCCAATGAAAAGGAAACTGTCATAATAAAAACCATATACCAAAACTTCAATAATAAAACCATATAATCATATCAATAAAAGCCCCAAATGACATTTGACAAAATCCAAAATCCAGTCTTAAAACACCTTAAAATTGAGAGATAAGGTGGCTATTTCTTGACATAACAAAAGGAAAGCTAAGAATATAGAACTGAGCTGACTTTATAAATGGTAGAGCAGATCTAGTAACATTTTCCTTTAAAAAACGAATGCAGCAAATGTAATTTGTATAACCATTATTCTCCAATTTAATGCTGAAAATTCTTTTCATCTCAGTAGGACCTCCAAAAGAAATGAGAACTAAATATTGAGGGGAAAAGGAGACAAGAAGGTTATTTGAAGAAATATAAGACTCAAAATAAGCCATCCTACCCCCCCAAAACTTACTAGAGATATTAAAAGTATTCAGTGAAATGGGATGGGAAAATACAAGATAAATCTGCAAATACCCATATCTTCCCTAAATATCATAATAACCAATTAGAAAAGATAGCTGAAAAGATATCTTATTCACAATGTCAGCAAATTATAAAATATAAAAATACATGGAAATTAATGTGAAATGTACAAGACATATAAAGTAAACTATAAAAAAACCTCTAGGCTGAGTGTGGTGGCCCACACCTTAATCCTAGCACTTTGGCAGGCCAAGGCAGGAAGATTGCTTGAGGTTGGGAGTTTGAGACCAGTCTAGGCAACAACATAGTGAGACCCCATCTCTACAAAAAAATAAGAAGAATTAGCTGAGCCTGATGGCAGATGCCTTTAGTTTCAGCTACTTGGGAGGCTGAGGCAGGAGGATCACTTGAGTCCTGGAGTTAGAGGTTACAGTGAGCCATGATTGTGCCAATACACTCCAGCCTGGGCAATAGAGTGAGACCCTGTTTCGCTCTAAACAAACAAACAAACCCCAAAGCTTTTATGAAAGAATTAAAAAAAAATGAATGCAGAGACATAGTATGATTGTGGTTAGTACAGATTATTATTTCCACATTAATGAATAGATTTAGTAGTTTCCCATTAAAAAATCAAAGAATACTTCATAAAACTCAATAATAATAATAATTCCAAAACTGTTTTGGTAAAAATAAATGAAAGAATTATCAATAGAATAGTAGTCTAAGAGAAAAAAGAACAATTAGAAAGAACTATTCTTGCTAGATACTAGGATTTTAAAGGAAATGAGTAGAATGGATATGGAAAAGTTAAAAAGAAATGAAGTACAGAGTAATTAAATGAATAGATAACTTAGTTTTCATAGAAGTTTAAGATATGATAAACTCACAGTACCCAAATGATGAAGAAAGGGATTATAATTTAAGAACTAGTAAGAAAACTAGTGCTATGGTTTGAATATGTCCCCCCAAAAGCATGTGTTGGACACTTAATCCCTAATGTAACAGTATTGGGAGGTGGAGCCTAATGGGAAGTGTTCATGTTCCACCCTCATATGGGATTAATGCCCATTTAAAAAGGGCTTGAAGCTGCAAGTTTGATCTCTTGCTTGCTCTTGTGCTCTCTTGTACTTCCACTCTCCACCCTTGTATGTCACAGCACCAAGGCCCTCGCCAGATGTGGGTCCCTTGACCTTGGACTTCACAGCCTCCAGAAACGTAAGTAAAAAATTTCTCTTCTTGATAAATTACCTAGTCTGCGGTATTCTGTTATAGCAATACAAAATGGACTAAGATAACCAGATATTTACATGGAGAAACATTAACTTAGACCTTCATCTCACACTACATTTTTATTCATACTGCAAGAGGCTGCCCATTAGGACTGTACTTATTTTTAAAGTTGGCATTAAATCATTTAAAAGTTGCCAGATGTTTTCTTTTTATAGCAGTAGAGTCATCAACTCATCTTTGGATCAGACTTGCTTTGTTTGGGGATAATCACCAGAACGGACCTTTTGCATTTACACAAATGTAGAGCAAGTACTCACTTGTTTGAGGAAACTGAAGTCTCTAGTAAGCTGCAAGTTTAGTTTAGAAGTGTAAATTGGGTTTATTCAGTGGTGTATGTCCCTTAGAAATCAAAAGGGGAAACATATGTATCCCTGGAATATAGATTTAGGCCAAACTGTCCTTGCAAAGTACTGTTTATTTTTTTTGGAAGAGTGTGTGTGTGTGTTTTATGTAAGTAATTGATAACAGATGATTGTCACACTAGACCATGCCAAAAGGGTTGTATAGATTGTATTCTTTGTGATGAAGATAAAAAGTGTGAAAGGGCATCAGTAGGACTGGGCATGGTCCAATAGTGCTTGGACTATTGGTGTCTTTTGCATGGTGTTACTTAAGATAGAATAAATCAGACCTGGAAAATACACTGCTGACCTTTCTCATTGCCTTTTCTGAGCCATGGGAGCCAGATTACACTCTGCATGAGTGGATGTTCCCACTGTCAATTGTTTAACTTGTATACTTTTCACTTCAGCTACATGAGGCAGGGCATGGATTTGGGGAGGAAAGATCTCTCTCTGAATATCTTTGTGAAATGTCTGAAGATTTTCTGTTGGTAGGGGTGATCTGGGCATTGTCACATTGGGTGTTCCAAAAGTAACAGTTGGAATCTATATTGTATTGTATTTCTTTCAAGCCAAAATCTACGGTACATTTTTGTTAATTGTTTTCTTCTTGTCTTTCCTGTGCTTTAGAGAATTAAGGGAAGGATCAGAGTCCATGCTTGGAGAGGAATTGATAGGGTAGAGTGGAATTCTGGAGAAGCTGTTTATCAGATGGCACAAGTGACCTTCTGGACTCTAACAGTGGTGAGAAATGATCAGGAATACTGATTTAGTGGAACATGTAATAGAATATGTCCATGGGAGGAAATCCCATGGAAGAATGGGTTTTTTTATAGCCTATGGAATGAATTTGGCTATTAGAGGAAATGTGGCCTTATTATGTAATCTCAGGCTTGTGTGGTCTGTGGATTACTGGGACCAATGCACTTGTTCCTTCATGTATTCATTCATTCCGCAAATTTTTATTGCTTGTCCATTACATGCAGGGCCTGGGATAGGCATATACATAACAATGGTGACTCACAACAGAGTCTCTGCCCTTTAGGAGAGAACTAGAGAAAGTTAAATATTAACAAATCAAATTGTAGGCAAATAAGAAGAAACGATAATAAGAGCAAACAAATGAAAAAATAGAAGATGGATATACTTGACTATGTAACCATTAAAAATGTCTGTAAAATAAAAACAATAAAGGAGCTTAGGAAGAAAACAAGAAACTGAAGCGATTACTTGAAGTATGTCAGATGAAGTAATGAAATTTTGAATACATAAGTCTTTAGTCAAAACTAAAACCTAACATCCAGTCCCTAAGAACAAAAGGCCACTAATAGCATTCAAATAAGAGGAAATAGTCAATTAACTTAAAAAAACCTTCAGTAGCAATTAAATAAATTCACATTAAAAATGACAATAATGTCTCATACTTAATAAACTTAAAAATATATGAAAAAATCATAAAACTATGAATGAAGTTGTAGAAAGATAAGCACCCAGGCATTGCTACTATCAATATAAACTGAAGCAATACAGTGATTTTAAAAAGCAACTTAGTATTAAATATTAAGAGCATAAACATATAAATGCTCTTTTACAACTGAATGTTTATCCTAAATCAAAATTTAACTATCAATAATACAGACTGTTGCTGAATTAACAATGATTTTTGACTTGGGATTTGTCAACTTTGTGATGGTGCAAGAACTGTACTTCTTTGATGATGCTGGGCAGAGAAAGCAATTCTCAACTCCCAGTCAGCCACGTGTTTTCAATTTAAGATATTTTCAATTTACGATGAATTTATCAGGATGCAACCTGTGGGAAGTCAAGGACCATTTGTAGTTCCAAATGCGTTGTAGTTCCAAAAGCAATCTGTAAACCGCTTACTAGTGCCAGGCACTTTTCTAAGTGCTTTAAGTATATTAACTGATTTAATCTTCACAGCAGCCATATGAAGTAGGAACTTTTATTATCCCCATTTTACACATGAGGAAACCAAAGCACACAAAGGTTAAATAAATTGCTTAAGTTCACATGGTTGGTCAATGGTAGAGCTGGGATTTGAAACTGGATAGTGTTGCTTCTGTGTGCAGACTCATTATTATTGCACCACACTGCTTCAGTGGAAGAAAAAGCTCTGTATACAAAGATGCTTGTGGCATAGTCAATTATAATATAAAATGAAAAAAATATGGTGGAAAAGTACATATTCCACAGTAGGAGAATGGTTAAATATATATTATGCTATATTCATTCACCAGGCAATTATTCAACCAAAGTTGTTCAGAACTTTTATTTTTCCCAGGGCAAAATGGTATGTGCCACAGACTTCACAAAAGTATTACTTGTCCTTTTGCAGTCCTTGTTATGTCCCTACATATTTGAGTCACTGTAAGGACCAGGAGTCCCTGTTCCAAATGGACACTTCATCATTTTCTATACTGCAGTGGCCCATGGCTCCATATATTATGTCATTAGATGGACAGAGTTGCTGGAGCAAAAATTCTTTAGGAGTATAAATTACCATCCTCCTTGGATACTTTAGCCACACTTAATGAACTCATGCATTTCTTTGACCTCATATTTCCATCCTTATTA